GACCTTGGAGCGGTAATGGTGATAAGGTGTTTGGTGTTTATGTGATGACCAGGCGACGATCGTGAAACATGATGTGCCGCTGGCGAAGGATGAAAAGTGGCATGACAACTAGCCAATGGCAAACATTGTTCTTTGCCATTATTGCCAAAGTGGCACTGTAAATAACAGCAGAGCCTAGCGATGGCAGAACATGACGTCTGCTTCAGTGGCTGCATGCTTGTCTCCACCAGTTTTGGAACCACATGAGATTCGTGGTGTCCATTTGCTGGAGATTTATGACCGCCCATTTTCTCCGGTAACTTTTTCAGTTTACTCATTATCACCCAGCCTCTTTCTACAGACTTTATAAAAGTTACCACAATGCCAATTATCATTACCCCAGAATGGCGGCCTTAGCATGTTTGAAACATCAGTGGTAAGCCCTGTTTGATGCATTTCTATCGCATCAATCGCAGAATACGGTAGTCATGCATTTTGACCACCATCAACCGGGCACTTGCCAGTGCAGGCCTTCCTGGCACCTGTAGTCAATCCTCAGACAAGCCGTCTTCCTGTTATTACCCCGAACGCCATTTCTGTCGAGTCTTTGATGGGTTATCTCCAATCCATGACACGTATTGCAGTGTCGTCCTCCCCATTAGTGGTTGGCGGCGCCCGACACTCACATAGTGTGTCGGCTTTGGAAGTAAGCCTCTTCAAGTCTAACCTACGAGGGGCGTTCAAAAAGTTCTCGGCCCGACCATGAAGGAGCAGAGATACGACGTCGACTCATAAGACCAAAAATGTTCATTTAGTCAAATAACCAGCGTTAAGACAAAAATATTTCGCGCAGCGCTTCGCGAGAGGCCCCTGGGTCTCCATAGCCAAGTGGGTTTTGGACGCATCTGGCACGTCCAAGACGGCTGCTTTAGTCTCCTTGCTGTCAGCGAAGTTGCCACTGCTAAGCAATTTCCTTATGTTGGGGAAGAGGTGGCAACCTTAGGGTGCAAGGTACGAAGAAAAAAGTGGCTGTGACAACAACTCGAAGCCACAGCTCACTGCTTCGCTGATCGTCACCCTGCTCATGTGTGCTGGTGCGTGGTCCTGGATCAGGCGCACACTTTTAGTCAGCTTCCCTAGTCTCTCCTTGATATCTGCTGCTCGCTACTGTTATCGAAGGGAGGTGTAGCATTCATCATTAATTGTGCGCCCCTGTTTTAGAAAGTTAACGAGCAGAGCCCCGCCATCATCCAAAAATGCAACCCGTGTCACCTTGCCGTCTGACTTTAACACGTCGCACACATTTGGTGGCCTTTACTCAGTGTGCTTCCACTTGTGCAACTCGGTCACGTCCTGAGGGTCAATGTGTGACACCCACAATCCCTCCACGGTAACAAGTATTTCAATGAACTCTTTTGGATCTTCGATATAGGGGCCAAAATTTTCGCGTTACGCCTCCTTTCGAGTTTGCCTTTCCTCTGCAGTCAGCAAACGGGGGATGCATCTTGCAGAGATCTTAAACATATTAATACTCTGTCTAAGAATGGCTTTGAGGAACCTGATAGACAACTCCGCTTCTGCTGCATTGTTTCAGACCAGAACATTTGTCATTTTTCACAAAGAAGTGCTTATTTTTCATATTTTCTTAAGTCAATGCTGTTGATGGCTGGCCACTGCGGGGGTGACCATTAATGATCTGTTGACCAAAATTGAACAGTGATGCCCACTTTTTGACGCTACTGTAAGAAAGACAAACCTCAACATGTGTTGGCACTAGCTTTTCGTGAATAACCTTTGGTGCATTTTTCTGCAATACATGAACCAAATCACTGTTCTATTCTGGGCGTCACCCATTCTGACCGGGAATAGCAAACTATGTTACGATTAATTAGCAGCCTGTGCCAATCACAGGGCAGATTGGTTAATGGCTACGTAAGTGGCCATCCCAATAACACATCATTGAACATACCGCGTTGCAGGCCGAAATTCCAACTCCTTCATGGTTGGGCCGAGAACTTTTTGAACGCCCCTTGTAGAGTGAGGTCCGGCCTGGCTGATTTGGGGACGATGTTTGCATGTTTAGTTTGTCACGTCGTGGGAGTCTATGGATGTCTCCAACGAACGTTGATTTGATCAGTGATCTCATTTAATGTTGGTTGATTAGTGGCTCAGAATTAATCATGCTAACGTTAATCCGCGGTAACCTAGTATATTTGAATGTAGTTTCTTTGTGCAGATTGTGGCATTGGGCTTACAGCTGCTCACAGGCATTGGCGTATCAGAAAGGAGGTCTTGGACGCTTCAGGGGGGGGGGGATCTTGCCCTAAATAAGTTTCTTTAGATTAAAAAAAAACTTTTTGGACACGCGACTGTCATCAGCAGAATTGACCTATCTTCACTCGATACATGTGCTTTTAGTTGACCATTTTGTATTTTACTGGGGAAGTTTTACTATTACTTCCACTATACCGAGCCGGGAGACATTAGGAGACCAATACACGTACATTATGTATTTGCTAGCACACATTCGCACCGAAACACAGGAACGGGCGCTTTTATATTGAGCCATTTTCATCCGTATGCTCTTCACTTCTTCAGATACTTTGATTATTTTCCTCCGCGTTTCTGTATCTCGAACCAGCACAGTATCAGCTGTCTGTTTATTGATCACTACCGACCGTTGCCATAGCAACACACACTTGTACCTTGCACTGGGACCATCATTGAGCGCTCTGCGAAAGATGACACTGGATATTGATCTGGTAGGCGGCTCTAGCCGGCTGCCCTGGGGGCGCGTGCCGCTGTTTTTTTTTTCTGTCGTCTGCTCCGCTCCGGATGCGTGTCGCGAGCCTGGTGACACGCCTGACCGACTAGCCCCGGGGGTGGGTGGTATTTTTGCCGCGGGACAGGCTCGTTAGAGTGATATGAGCGCGGTGCAAGTGGGCTCTGCGCAGCGGGGTGTGGCGGATGTCGTCTGATGATGGCTTCTGATGGCGGCTGTCTGATGTCTGGTGGGGTCTGTCTGATGTCTGGTGGGGTCTGTCTGGTGACTGCAGGTTGATGTCTGGTGTCTGCTGTCCACTGTCTGATGGCTGAGTATGATGGTCATTGCCTGCGACTGCTGATGTCTTGGAGTGTGTAACTGTGCACTTCGTGTCATCTTTATCCACTGTTGTGTGCTGTTTACAGTGTCATGCATTTTTATCGGTTATTAGATAATTTGTTATGCCTGCTGTCTAGCAAATGTTGTCTTCATATGTGCTGTTTGTCGACTATTGTGTTCTGTTTGTTGTCTGTTGTCCACGAGTTGCCCTTTGCTGTGTTTTTGCCTATCGCTGTTTGCCATCTGTTGAATTATGTCTGGTTTGTGTATCAGCCTGCTGCCCGCTGGCCTACACCCAACAAATGCAATTGTCGGCCAAATGCAATTACCCATCCCCAAATTGCAATTAGCAGTGTCGCGCAGCGCAACAGCAAGTGCTAGGTTTGTGCTGTACGGCGTCCTTTTCGTAATTGACTTAGTTATGCTCACGTGGCTGGCCAGTTTTGTAGGTATGTGTTGGCGCTCATCCAATAAGGGAGGGGGCTGAGGAGTATTGGGTTATGTCACGTTTTTATTCTGGGCTGCGCCTTCAGGCGTAGCTACGGTGTTTTGTGTTACTCTTGTGTTAGCCTTCATGCTGGTGTGTGTTTTCACTAATCCTTCCGTTTACGATGCGACTGAAATAGCTTTGGGGTCGCGGCGAATCTCTAACGTTAGCGTGCAAACTACCACCCTGAACACACCTGCAATACCTAACTCAAACCAAACCAAATCAAACATCAATCAGCTGATCTCCGTCGGACCTGACCGTTATTCCTATCAATTGCCCGACCCTGCTTTTGGCACGGCCCATACTCCCACATTCCCACCTTCCCAATCGCACTCCCACACCACTCTGGCTCACTTTCTCCGTGTGAGCAGCTCCGCTCGCCCCCTGGCTAGCCGAGCTCGGGCCACGGGTCTCTCGGGACGGCCGGCCGCGCCGCTCCTCGCCTGCACTGCGCCACGGACGGCGCCGCCCTCAGACGCGTCACCTTTGACCTTTGCCGCCGGCGACGAGGCAGTCTGTGGCGGTGGTGGCGGCGGGCGGGCCCTCTCCTAGCCACGCTGGCAGCGCGCCCGGATGGACCCATGTGACCGACCTGGCCGGGCTCTTTTCGGACTATCTCGGCGCGACTTGAGGATTCCGTATAGTTTGACATGACTTAGGACATGCGTTACGTTGTAACATTTTACTGTAGGGTATGTATGTCGCGATTAAACACTACATACATAATTCGACAAGAGTCACGGCAGCACAGGATATTATACAGTGCCACGCAGTGCGCTACGACGGGACACAATATGATGCTACACGATAATAAGCTACATAGCCAACGAAACCACATGTGCACAGTAACCACTTAGGCCTACCCTTAGCTGTGAGAAATGCACCCTCAGCTGGCGGCTTCCGTGTTGGCTGTGAAAATAAACACGCATTTTCTCCCCACTCTGCAGTGCCGGTAGCGTATGCGGCGTGCGCTATCAGAGTTTGTGGCTGAAATCAGCGGAACGTGCCCAGTTGCCACAACCTCTGCCAGTTTCTGTAAAGAACGCAATGCACGACGGAAAATGGTGTGAGAAAGACGATTACGTATGGCTTCGATATGATATGGAGAAGCTAGTTCCCAAAGTGGCGGGAGTATCAGTTGCTACCCTTAGTTGGTTTTGGATTTGCTTATACCATCTGACACCTGTGTGCTGCTGAAAGACATCCTTAGATTCATTTACCACTTTGGTATGCCATTTAAGGTGTCTCATCTCTTCTTTTCCGGTCTGCTTGCTTTCACCTTTCCTTTTTCCATCTTCATTTATATGTTTTCTGTGTTTTTCTCTTTTCGCCTTTCCCTTTTCCAGCCAGAAGTGCGGGTATCACTGAACCGTCATCCGCCTAATGACTTTTCGCAGAGACTTACCTTGTTTTTGTTTCTTTTCACAGAGGTGCTTTCTCAATTGTGCGGCGATGTGTGCAGAAATCCACTGGCCTGGAGTTCGCTGCCAAAATCATCAACACCAAGAAGTTGACGGCACGAGGTGAGTCTGTCGGCCTAATGAGCCTGCCCAAAGCGACGTCCCTGCACCTCTATCTAGCTTTCAATATTGCAATTCGTATCCGTATTTAACTGTTGAGATAGAATGCAGTTTAAACATTTGAAGCTTTTCCTCTGCAATAATCGTTTTTATTTTGGTTTGCAACCTTTCGGAATCTGGGCTTCGCTCCCTCTCAGGTTAATACAGTGGTGTAGTATATTGCGAGAGATCCAGTCCTGCCGCGAGTGGCGTGCTGCGCTCTCTCACGTTTTTGTGCCAGGCTTTCTGGCAGGTTCGGCATTTGATATTCTGCTACGAATATCACTTTGCGTTGCTAAGCCACATATAACTTACGTATCTATTTCACGTTTAGCTTCTAGGGCTTCGGAACGCCTTCGCAGCTCTATAAATATAGTTTGAGATGGAGGCCGAATAGCTTTGGGACAAAGGTGTATAAATAGTTGGGAGCGAAGGCGGACAATCTTCTGAGCTTCTTAAGTCTGGGGGTTGTATTTACGAAACTTTTCAGGCATTCGAAGTCGTGTGCTGGGAGATGGAAAAGCCGGTGTGCTGCTTAGTTCAAGTTAGGATTAGTTCCAGCATTAACTATGCTGTTCGATTCAGGAAATGCAATTTCTTTTATCAGTCCTGCTACTCCAAATCCTGTTTTATAATCTAATCACTAGCAATTGAATCACTGCAACCTTTGTATTGCTTCAAGTTGGTATAAGCATTCATGCAATACTTCACCGCAGGGCGCAGTTTTGAGTTTCTACTCTGCACCCTTGTTTGCTTCTCAGTTTTAAATATCCTTTATGATGGGCTAGGACGTCTCCTTAGCAGCGGATGTACGTGAATTGCGGCGTGCTTCACGAACTTGTCACACGATTTTTTAAGTCACGGGACGTATCGATGCTGACTGCACGCGTTGTTTGTGTTTTCAGACTTTCAAAAGTTGGAGCGCGAGGGCAGGATATGCCGGAAGCTCCAACACCCCAATATTGGTGAGTACGCGCGGCCGTAACGAACTGACTGATACAGCGTACCAACAGAACGGTGCTACTTACATAAGATAGGATACATTTCATAAGATAAAAGCACGGACCAATAAACTGCATCACATGAGAAAAACTGATATTTTACGTGATACCCAATCGCTCCCCGTTCCTTATTCCTGGGTGTTTTGCCTTTAGTGATCCCGATTTGTCATTCCAGTGGAGGTATTCGTATCACTCGATGGGCATCACTCGATGGGCGCTTGATGACGAGCTGTAACTTTTACGTAGAAGAGCTAACTTCGTGAATCTTTAACCACGGACATAGGAACTAGAAACCTGAGCTCTCCTGAACACAGTTATTGATGCTTACGTTGCCAATAAGCTGCTGGCACGTTTTCATTTGCTCAGGGATGATCAGCTTGTCTTCAGCTGCTAGAATAGCTACGGTTTTCTCCTTAACTGCATTTGTTTATACTCATCTACCTCGGTAAACTGTATCCGGATCCACGCTCAGCACTGAAAACCAATTAAGCGGCCGCGACGAGGCTTTAACTCGGCTCTAGCTGTAAACAAACTGCCCTCCCCGGTCTTTTGGCGCATTACGCGGTCTTTGCTGACACCTTTATGAAACCACCACGGCGTGACTTAGCGCCGGCTTCACGGCTGGATCGTAACAACGTCCTGTGTCGGGGCCATTTTGATGTAAATGCTGCCGTTTGTCCCGTGGTGCCGCTTTTGTTTGGGCAAACGGTGTGTCCAACCGATTATATCAGCAGCGAGACCAGAGTGGGAGCCCTGACATCTGTAAAAGAGCAAAAATGTCCAACAAAATTCTGCTCTTTCATGAAGGCATATTTTTTGCTCGATTTCGTCCTAGCCCATGCTCGTCGGCCTGCAAACGGCGGCATTTTCGGCACATGTAGCCGACTTCACTGGGACTTCACTGGGCTACCGCGCTGACCGTTGTCCTCTGAACGACCAGCTTTTGTCGCGGGCGACAGCCGACGACAGTTGCCAGGATCAGATGACGGCGGCAGACACGACGCTACAAATTCCTCCTCCAAATTCCTCCTCCAAATTCCTCCTCCAAAGTTCGTACTCATCCTCCCGAAGGCGGTGTCTTGTTAGTCTTGTGACGCTGAAGCCTCTTGCACCAAAATATCTAGCTTGGTAGAATTGGAAAACCATTTTTTATTTTACGCTCCACTACCCTATACTGGTAACTTCTCTTGCACCAGCTTCTAACGTCGAACTATAGCTGCTAGGTAGAACTTGTTGCTAAATTATCATGACTGTTTTTTGAGTGAGCTCATGACGCAAGAGAATATAATGAAATTGCAATTTATCTAGGCAGGTGTGTTGGTGCACGATGCCTCTGGTTCCCACCCTGCCTAAGTTTCTACTCTCCACTAGAGGTGTCCTTTTTTGGGATCCAGGTACTCCGCCCCGCAACCCTTCACCAGATACCCACAACTACCCGCATGGGAAACTTCAGTGGTAGCAGCCCGCAAAAACCCGCATAGCAGCCAAAAAGCTTTTCCATTTTCTAGCCATGTTTTTCCAGGACATCTTACTGCATATGTGAGTATGCTAGACCATGCTCTAGCATATTCATTTCCCATTTTAAAGGGGAAACTTTGTATTGTTTTAGTTAAGAAGTTTGTGATGTTTTTGCTAACCGCATAAAACCCACACCAAGGTATTTCCTGGTGATGCAACCCGCTTAAACCCGTGCGGTTTTTTCTACCATTGCGAGTTGGCGGGTCGAAAAAGAGTACCTCTACTCTCCACCTCGCCCGTCTGAGGCGGTTCGTCTGGCTTCTGGTGGGTCTGGCCGGGACAGGTATCCTCAGAGCTGACCTCAGCTGGCAACCTTGCCAAGTTTCTGCACCCGGAATGCCCCGGAGCAATGACAAGTATCCACGCTGTCAGCTGTCGTCCGGAGGAGGAGGAGGAGGGGGGGGGGGGGGGGGGTCCGGCGGTGTCCTCAATGTTGAACTTTTTGCGATGAAGTCCAGCTATTTTGGAGAATATTTCTTGGGTATTGAATTGATAGCATTTTGCATCTCAGTATTAAAAGCAGGGAATAGTGCTGTGCTGTGACATGAACCTTTGCGACTGATTTCCGCAACGAATCTTCTATCTCAATTCTATTTCATAACAGTGGAAAACAGTAGCGGCGGAACACCTTCAAGTAAGGGGGGGGGGGGGGGGACACTGCCGACTTTTGGTCCCATTCTTTCCATGCAACGCCCATAGGTCTAATGTTAAAATGCCAAAATCAAAGGGGGCACGGTGCCCCGGTGCCCTCCCCGTTCCGCCGCCTATGGTGGAAAAGTTAGAAATCACATCCGTCTAGTTCCCAGACCTCATTGGAAGCTGAACGTAGGGCAAAGGGGTTGTTCAAAAGTATCCCTTTGGCATTCTGCGACTGAAGTCACCCCGCCCCGGTGACTGTCCGTGTCACATAAGGGGGATTATTGAACAGGAGCAGTTCTGGTGAAACATCTGTGTTTGATGTGTCTGAAGGATCGACGACAGCTGTCAAACTTGGCTGGCGGAGTTTCAGGGACTTTTGAATGGAATCCTTTTCCCGTTGAATAGTGTCTCGCGTGTCGACGACAGTGTCTACCAGGTCGTTTTCCGCTGCGTTTTCTGTGTTGCATCCATAACCACAGTTGTGCTATAAATGTTTCAAAGTTACAGCTATGGCTACAGGCTGCTCGTCGCAGATAAAAAATCTTCTTTGATTTGCTATTATTAAAACTAGGATCTCTTAGAATGTCGAGCACAGATGTTCTAATGATGTTATGCGGAACTACTGTTCTAATAGGAAACAAAAGGATAATTATAATGTCATCTCTTGCTTCCATCAGCTAGATGTATTCTGCTGGGTATGTCCCCTTCGACAATAGGTCGTTTGTGCGCCAAAGCACGGATTTGTCCCTTCTTAGAGGCAGACAACTAGCTTCATCCGACCTTTATTGGACCGTCTTCTCCTCATTATTATTATCCACGCTCCACGTGTGGGATCGTGTCACAGCGGTGGTGTCTCCTCCCTCCCGCCCGCCGATAATCGCATCGGAAAACAATAACAACCCGTCGGACCGGAAATGATGGGGTTCCGCCGGAAGTGACCGGTATTTCCGCCGGAAGTGATCGGTGTATCAAGAGGCAATGCGTCGACACGCGGCCCTGCAGACCGGCACAGGAATGCGAAAATGTGCGCGAAAATGTGTAGGAAAATCTTCTTTTATTTTGTCTTTCTGTTTGCCTATTTATTTCGCAGATCAAAAGTCATTGAATCATTTTGTAGCGACATACTAAGCTCGTTCTCAGAATGATTAAAAAAATTTGTTAAGTTTTTCATGCTATTCTGACAGTGTATCATGGATCACAAACCAATCGTATTACTCTGACTGAAAGGGCGTTTCCATGGTTTCTCTTAGGGTACGCGCTTCCTGACACTAATATATACCCTGAATACATACCGCTGCCTAATCTACATATTACCCTCTATAGAATAACGATTCCAGGGAGAGAGGAGCGGACGACGAAGGAAGTAATGTTCCGATAACACTGATGGCAATGTCCGCCAATATCGCTGATAGGTGCGGCATGGGGTCCGCCGTCTATACCAAGACTGACAAGCGAGTCAGGAAGCTACACTGTGATGGTTAGTGGGATGTTGAGAAAATCATTAACTGATGGTTGGTTAGGTCGATCCCTTTTGTGGTAAAACTGGACGGGATGCACTGTCACTCTTATCCTTATGGTTTATTTGCTGAGCTGGTATAACAGCGGTTTTGACTAGCTTTAGCCAGTTGAACCAGTTTTGGTTCAGCTTTGAACGTTTTGATGCGTTGAGAACTTTTAAACTTCTGCTACATGGCTACTGTTTTAATTTAACTCCACCCCGTAATCAAATTCTTGGCTAGTTCTGTATGCGAATGTGCCGTGATTTAGGCGGCCACGGAATCCAAGTCAATGAATAGTTGGCGCTTCACGACTCGCTACGGAATTTAAATGGGTGATAATGCCGGAAACAATCTGACCAGGGAGTGGTTCAGTCTTGTAGTGGACTTTGAAGAGGTGTCTGTATGCCATAGCTATATCAATGCTGGCGATTTATGGTGTGAAAGTCGTGGTTTAGTAGTAGGGATAAGCTAAGGTTACTGATATACGCAATGCACCTGTAGAAAAATGGCTGGCACCTGTAGCACTGCTGTGGTAAAAACAGGCTTGGCTTATTTGTAGGTACTTATAAGGAACTCATTAGGTTCATTAGGTTATTCATTAGGTACTCGATTGGCTGTCTATAAAGGTTAGTCGGCTTCTCTCATTGATCGAACCTCGACCCTGTCTTGTCCTCAAACTTCTTTTTGGTGTCACTTGTACAGCCGTACACCCTGACTTGCAATATGCGCGGCCATTATGATGCAGAGGCTGTCGCAGAGGGAAGCGTGTTTTTGTTATTTCAATTTTGGGACGGCACTTTGCTTAGAGCTGGCGGCTTACACTACGGGGCGGCCACAAACACTGTGCTGTTTACCTTCGGTAGGAGTGGCTAAGATGGCCACATGTTGTTCAATATTGTAAGACATGTTTATAAAGTCTGATGGCCAAGAGTTGCGAACGAAAATTATAATTCAAATCTAAATCTTTTTGTATTTCAGACGTTTCGACAACACTGTGCCATCGTCAGTAATTGATATAAAATATTTCCTAAAGTCACAAATTATTTTTAAAATGTGATTTGTGACTTTAGGAAATATTTTATATCAATTACTGACGATGGCACAGTGTTGTCGAAACGTCTGAAATACAAAAAGATTTAGATTTTAATTATAATTTTCGTTCGCAACTCTTGGCCATCAGACTTTATAAAGATGGCCACATGGCTGGCTTTCCGAAGTGGGAGACAGCAGGCGTATCCTGTAGAGCTGCCAGTTTTGGATAGGAAGAGGACCGCTTACACAGAGTTCACGGGCTCGTGGGGTGAATGA